ATCCTGCAGCGGTAATCCCGTGGATCAAATACCCACGGCGAAGCCACTCGTTCCCGCATGCCAGTTGGCTCCCTTTCTCCTGCACACAAGAGAGTCACGAGAACTCTGCAGACCGTCCTTAAGGTGACCGTGTACATGACTTCGAGACGCTTACTCGGTTGCTAGTGCCGTCCTTTGCCAACCTCTTTTAGCACTTCACAACACTTCCTTGCAAACGTGCCACGCTGCGCAACGTCTGCAAGGCCAAATATATTTAAGATGGGCGTCGTACTTGTACATCCCAATCCTGGACAATCTCTCCCCACTGTAAATGGCAGGCATGGTGATCCATTAGTGGGGACTCGCACGAGCTTCGGGTAGGTGGGCAAGCCCATGCTGCCGTTTGTCTGCGTTTGCTCCCCTGTACTTGCAGATCCACCTTCATCATCACCATGCTCTTTTGCTTCGCTCAATTCCATCAGATATGACTCAAATTCATCTTCCAAAAGTACAGATGTGTCAACTGTACGGTCATTCTCGCTCCCAGATTCTTGCGCCGTACACTGCAGACCAATACTAAATTTGCATTCCTTCCAGTCCTGCTTAACAGTTAGCCGCACTGTGTATGGGGCAAGCTCGCCAATGCAGATGCACTTTGAAGGGTAATCTTCAATAGTCTCGAGCTTGAAGGAATCCTGATCGACAACGCAACCACATAAATATATACTAGATGGTGGCTGAGTCACCCGACAGCTAGGCAGAAACTATCGATTACAATTCCCTCAGAACCGGCAAAAGTGTTTGCGGAGATCGAACCCCGCACCCTGTAGTCGTCAGCAGATGCCTGCGTCAACGTACTTTTGATAAACAGACATATGGCAAAAATGGCTCAGCTAGTCCGGGGCGTTCAGCGTCACAAACTGGAGAAGGCGGAATGCAGAGTTTGTGAAAGCGAATGGCTCGCCATATGGGAGACGGCCAACAACCGTCAGGCACATCCCGGGACTCTAAAAAGCGGAATGCAGCAACTTGTCTGCCAGGAAGCCGGCAACCTTCCCACTCCAAAGAGCAAAGAGTAGCAAGCTGGAAGCAGACGGATGGACAAAGAGCCCAAGAAAGGTGCAGGCGACGCACTGTTGAGCCGCTGAGATCTCTCAGTTCCTGGGGGGCCAGATACAGGTCACAGTAGCATATCGCCCCATGAGGCAATGTGACGGAAGCGCATTCCCTTGGATAGGTCGCTTCGTCCTTCTCTATGGTAGATACTTGCGGGGAATCTTTCGAAGCAGTCAGGAGACACTCTGCCTTCTTCCCGGTGCTTGTTACTAGCTCGGCGATGTTCAAGACAAATATGTCGAACCCCAGCCGGTGCTGAAAACAGACTCTGCCGATCTTCACGCCTTCCCACACGGGAACACTTTCAGAGCCTGCTTGAGGCAAGGAAACCCGGTGAGTCACAAGTAAGCCACTGCCAGAAACCATCTGCTCACGATGCAACTCAGGGCTGAAGTCTGTCCACACGACGACGGCGTGCAAATCCAAGTGAAAAATCCATTGGCTGGCGCCGTAAGGCTGCTCGAAGCGCCTTAACAAAGGCACAAGCAACTCTACATATCGGTACATCTGCTTCCGCTTCGAGGTATCACGGTCCTCTATATCTTCCCGCAGCGCAAGAATATTCAAAATCTCGAATGAGGCCTTGAGGGCTATGTGGCAGTTCTCAGCGTCCGCCTGAACCCCTCCAGCAGTTGCCGCCGCAGATGCAACAAATGAACCAGCTGAACTAGTTGCCACTGGAGGCTGTTGCTCATTCCCAACAGAAGGCAGAGAGCGATCCGAACCTCCAACTACCGAGCTGAACCTAGAATCAACCCGAGCAATCTTGTGCAGAAACTCCGGCGGCGGGACTGACAGTAAGTGAGATACGCACAGAGTCAGTCTCGCCAACACGTAGCGATACAGAGGCCACCACCTGCGAAATGAAGCACAATACACCTGGCAAACGAATGAGACAGCGATGACTAGGAGGAGTTTCTTGTTGGGTAAGTGTGCGGTCCCCGCCCCTGTTGAGACAACTGTTCGGTTGGTGGTACGCATGCGGCCTCACCCTGTGCAATTCCCAGCTCCAGAAAACCGCAGGCGGCTGCCAGCAGGCAAATGCGGCTCGTCCGTGACAGGTTGGCTGAAGGTTTCGGGTTGCCTTGCAGACGCAGTCGCGTGAGCATCTGNAAGAAGCTCAGGGCTTCCAGAGTCGCCGTCTGTTGTTGCTGGTAGGGGAACAGCTTTCTCATTCCTACGGTGTTCGCGGCACTCAACATCTACTGTCTGCTCGGGTGCCACAGTCTCCGCAGTGCTGCACACTGCTGGCACTGCTTCAACTTGCCACGACTTTTGGTGGCCGTACTTGTACGATGCAAAAGCCGTGGCCAAGGTGAAGTACAGCTGACGCGCTGTCATCATCCGGTGGCCGTCGAACATTGCGTCGGCGAGCTCGCATGCCAAAATCGGACAACTACGGTAGCCTCCGACAAGCTGCATAACGCACGATACCGTGTACGTAGCTCGTATGTGAAACTGAGCTTGCGTTTGTGAGGTGAGTTCTCTTCACTGAGGGTGTGTGCACATGTCTGATGTCGAACACTTCTCACAAAACGAACCTTAAATGCAATATGGGCTTTGGAGAGCAGGTGTGTCGCATGTGTGAGCACTTGCGCCTCGTTGAAGAAAAATATAAATCGAAGGAATACTTCTTCTTGTGCTGCAGCAGCAGCCGCTCCAGGGTCTTGCGTGTTTGCGGTTGCGAATGCGCCCGTTCCATGCTGTAGAAATGTGGCAAGCCCTCAGGCATCGAAGCGCCGTAAGAGGCGCAAATGGCACAGCTAGACAGTGTCTGTTGCTCGTTTCAGCAAGTCGAAGCCCAAGAAAAGTTGCTGTGCAGGCGAAATGACACGCTCACTCACCTGGAGGGTATCCGGACGTCCAAGCCACTCAGATGGCACCCCGAGTCCACCCTTCATGGAAGGTGGAGGGTGGACTTCCTTTGCAGTCTTGATCCACGTTCTGACATGCTGAAGGTACCTAGCAGCCGCTTGATAGTGAAAACCGGCTAGCTGCCACACGTCTCGGGTATCGAGGCACGAAGGAGTCGTATGCATGGCATCTTCGCATAGCTGGGCAAGCAGCTGATGCAGCTGGGCAAGCCAAAGAGGAAGTAAGTAGCCCTGCAGCGGCGACTCTGGAATGTTCTCTCGCAGAACTGCGCGGTGCTCACGGGCGTGATGGGCTGCCTTAGATGGTTCTTTTGCTTTGAAGTACATTGGGTACATCCGCACGCTTATCAAATTGCACACCGTCATCCGCTCCAGTGCAGGCGCCATTTGCGAATAGCTGGTAAGGAACTGCCAAGCAGTGATGTAACTCTTCATAGCGGCATGTGGCTGCTGTGCGAACTCCAGCATGTATCCAGCCTTTATTAGACACCTGGTCTGTGGAGAACAGCAAGGTCACGCGCACAGCAATTGCCCTCGGCAGAAATAACATGCATTCATTGAGCTGGAAGCATCGCTAAGATGCATAGGCTAGATTAGAAACATATAAGCAGAATCCATTTTCAGGCAAGCACAAACCTGATACACATGGAATGCGCTGGTTTGGGAACGGTCCCCTTTGAACGTCACTTGCGTCTGCTTTCTGTATCGCCGAGCTTCACTTTCGTAATACTCCACACTGCAGTCGAAGGAAACCTGGAACAGCCGCAGCATGGAGACAAACACTGTGCGTTGCCACTTCCCAGAGTACCTGACTGATACAGGAAACAAAGCCAGCGGTTCATTTCAAGGACGAGATCTTCATGTGGGCCAAGACACAAGTTGTGATTTATCACCTGTTCTAGCTTCTCCAGCTTTGCCTTCAAGTCATCCACTCCGCACGTTATGAAGATTGCTGCGATGTCTGCTGGATTCAATTTCTTCAAAAACCCAACAGCAGACTGTGGATCTTCCATCCCCGTGGGCAAAATGACGAAAACTATCTGATGGATCAACAACCAACACAGTTGGCGAGCCCATCTACCGCCCATCACATCCAGATGATACGGCCTCCGGCGTCGCATGCCACTAGTTTGATATCGTTTAAGCGAGCAGGGAGCTCTACAAAAGGCTATACTCACAATCTTCGGAACAACAATGCGCCTCTGGAGCCTTTCCCTGAAGAACTCGATGGTAGCCATTGCTTCTGCCTCGGCAGCTGCGACGGCGCTCCCTCGGAATCCGGTTCGGGCATCGTAGCTACCAGGTGTCCTGGATCCCGCCGTTGCCGGGACTGAAGAGGGCGACTCTGAACCTGAGGCACCCGATAGAGTTGACCTCATATTGTCGTCGTGAGCAGGTGTACGAGGCGGAGCCACATGGATTGGGCTGGAAGGGTCATCTTGTTGGCTTTCCAGGCGCTGCTGCGCACAGCCATCCCGAGTACAACATGCTCTGGATGCTGAGCACGGTGAATGACCGGCAACGTCCAACGAAGGTGGCACAGAAACAGCGCAGCAACCGCAACAGGAGTCCCTTGTATTATAAACCTTTCTCCAATCGAAGGACAAAATGAGACAAGACGGCCTCTCTGTGCGCATCCGCTGCATCCATGCATGCTTGAGAAATCCCTGCGGAGACCATTACGCGCACAATGCATAATGAGATGTCTAGGAATAAAATACTACCGAGTACGTTCCTCCGGTTTCACCCGGAATATCAGCAAATCAACTCACTTTGTTCAAAAGTTGGCATCCTGATATTATCTTCTTGCGTTGGGAGCCCTTCTCGCGCTTCGCACCTGTGCCTGGGGTCTCCGCTGGAAATAAAACTCTTGCAGAAACGCACCTGTCACTGCTCACTGAGCCTCCTTCTGACTGATCANAACCCTGCTACGGACGGCTCTGCCGGGCCGGCTTTAGATGCGTCATCGCATACCCCATCTTGCGCAGGTGATCTAGAAGCCTGAGCCTGAAGATTACATATCCAGTAGAATGTCGCAACAAAACTCTCCTTTGTGAGGCCTAAATACTTGGCTGTTAGCCACAGGGGTGACCCCTGTACCGCAATTCCAGTACCTATCTGCGCTCAGAATATAGATAGCCATGCGGCGGATTCACCTCATTTGCATCGCAGAATACATAGCTCAAGCGCTGCCGCCTGTTGCGTGAGCTAACTCGCTCGCATTCAAACGTTTGCCAGAGCAAGTCATGTAGGCCTCTGGGCGCGCAGACGCATATAAGCGGTATTGGGGGAGGGCTGCATGACGGAGGGGAAAGAGGAAACATTAGGAAGGAAGCACTGCCTGGTGTCGTATAACAAGATTCAACGATCCCGCAGCAATGAAGTAAGTCGTGATAGGACACGCTCGTCCCCCCTCACAGCTCGCCAGAATGAAGCTATGCGAGGCAGAACGCAGACAGCCATTAACCTTGCAATAATGCTGTTAAACGTCGTGTTTCTCTCCCAAAAGGTTGCTGTCGCTTTATTTGTACCACACATTCGATACAGCGGGGCCCGCCGGGGCCCTGCGTGAACTGGTGGGACCAGCCCGGTTTACCGCTTGCCCTGTACCATGCTCCGACGTTAGGCATCACGAATACAAATAATCAGAAGAGTGTTTGAAGTCTTCACGTTGTTGCTATGCCTTTCCTGCCTTGCAGGGGAGACGGAGTGACGGACGGCGTGGCTCTGCGCTGCGCCGACATGTCTTGCTCCCCTAGGCGACAAGGTTGTGTAGATATCAACAACGTCGAGTTGGTGGACCAAATGGCAAATGCAATCATATGAGCAGCATCTGTTATCATCAGGCTGGTTTTTCCTGGGGTCTTCTTCTCTGGATGAGACAAAGGTCGCTGGCACCTTGTGCCCAGTCGTCTGCAGACTCCGTTTGCCAAGGGTCAGCGTAGCTCATCAGCGAAAATCGCTCGGGAGTTGATGCGTGTTGTCAAGCAAAAGACTGTGTTGCTGTGTAGAGGAGAACCACTTCGTCGGCTGGATGAGTTGGAGCTTCATCTGACTCATTTGACGGGGAAAACAAAACAACTAACGCATACGTGTATGCCTGGCACATTCGGAACACTACACCCAAACGGCAATGCCGCATTCGAAGATGACGGCTGAATCGGAGGGCCCAAATGCGATAGCTACAGCCCCTATCGCCCCGGAGAAGAGCTTGTCACTTGAAGCTGTCCTGCGCCGCCTCTTCCTCAGCTCCGCAGCGTGTAAAGTAGGCCCATGTGTGGGGTGCATCACTGTGTACGAGAAATATCAATTCATTCTTAGTGTGTATGGCAATGTGCTTAGTTGCAGGATCGTTCTGACAGTGGAGCCGCATTCGTTGCTGCTCCGCTTAGCTGTGGAATGTTTCGCTGCTAAGCCTTTCACATCAGTATGTGGACCTTGTGGATGCTTATCCTTAGGTATGGACGGCTGGACACAGATGGGGTAAATTCATTGAGGCAATATGCGTTGTGCTCATTATGCTGCTTTGCCTGTCTACGCGCCTGTTCCCATCTATACGAGGCGAAGCAACAATATACGACTTTGACCCGTATTTCAATCACCGAACCACCAAGTATCTTGCCAGGGAAGGCTTCAGCGAGTTCTGGAACTGGTATGATGATGGTAAGTTCGTTTTCCTTCGCATCGCCGTGGGGCACCAGGCATTCGGGCAGAGCAACTCGTATTTTCTTGTGCTAAGCCAAAACTGTTGTGAACGAGAAGAGACGCAAATGGGTTTCATACGTGGCATGCGATGCAGCTAGTTGGTATCCACTTGGACGGCCAGTTGGACAAACGCTGTTTCCAGGGTTGATGACGACATCCTACTTCATCCACAAGGTCCTGTGCTTTCTCGGTTTCCAAGTCAGCGTATCTGACGTATCTGTGTATCTCCCACCAGCATTTGCTTGCTTGACAGCCATTGTCGTTCACTGCTTCACCAAGCACGCCAGCGGATCTCGAACAGCGGGTCTGTTTGCTTCCTTATTTATCGGGGTATCGCCTGCCTACGTCAAGACGTCCTTGGTGGGATCCTATGATAACGAGTGCATCGCAATATTTGCAATGCTGTCGGGGTTCTACATGTGGACTCGGGCGGTTCAGAGGGGTTCAATGCTCTCAGCCCTACTAGCAGCTATACCGTCTGCATACATGGTTACAGCTTGGGGCGGTTATGTGTTCCTGATCAATGCAGTTGCTGTTCACATGGTCGCTCTCTGCGTGCTTGGGTTAATGACCCCCAGGCACCAGCTGGCATATGTTGTGTTCTACGTAATCCTTACTGCATTTTGTGTGAACATTCCCTTCCTAAATCTCACCCCACTTTGGAGTTCGGAGCACATGGCGAGCCACGCAGTCTTCGTGCTTGTCAGTGTATTTGCGATAGTTCGCTTCACCTCAGCGCTCCTTCCAAAGGCGTCTGTGAAGCACCTTCAGATGTGGGTCCTAGGGCTAACTGGAGCGCTGATATTTGTCGTTATAGCCATACTAGCTCTTACGGTAAGGTACCCTTGTTGGACACATCTCGTGGCTAGGACAGTGGCGTTGAAGGCTTTCGCTGTTGCGTAGGGCGTCCCTGCATATGCGGAGCTGTCTACTTGTGTTTTTGCGCAACAGGGCAAAACAGCTTGGTCGCCGAGGTCTCTGACCTTGCTTGACCCAACTTACGCGAGCAAGCATATTCCTATCGTAGCATCAGTATCAGAGCACCAACCAACGACATGGACGACGTACTTTCTTGACCTTCACGTGATAATATTTCTTGCTCCCTTAGGATTGATCATATCTCTTCGACGAGGAGAAGGGCTGTTTTTTATTGGCCTGTATGGGGTCCTCGCTTGCTATTTTTCAGGTGCGAGGACGTCTTAGTTAGCTAGCTTCCTCATAGACGACGGCGTACTTCCACAGATGCTCATTTTGGATATGAGTCCATTGCGCCGCTGAGTGCCTACGGTGTTTGCAGCTGTCATGATCAGGTTGATGCTTGTTCTCTCCCCCGCTGCGTCGATGCTCGCTGGGGTTGGAGCATCACTATTCGTAACTGGAGTTCTTTCCCGCTTGCCTAGAGCCCATTCCGAAGACAAATGTGCGCGGGAAGAGTCGGTAAGCCCTCTCGATGCATGGAGGCGTTCACTGTGTGTTCAGTGTTGGCTGCAGGGGCACAAATTGTCATTTTTAGAGTTGAGTTTTCGGCTTTTGGCAGGCAAACATGAGGACCGCAAACTCCAATGGCTTTAAGCTCCCCTTAACTGTTGGCTTGCCTGTGCTACTGGCATTCTTTTGGCTTTGTGTTATGGTAAGGATCCATATCCGCATTCGACTGGAGCTTCTGGTTCTCGCGTTTTTGGAGCTATTGACTGTGCTTGCCCATTCGATTTTTGTGTTTTCGGCTCTGCTCAGTATGTCGTCCACTGCACTTGGATGTCCTCTACTATATTTTCCAACAGAAACATTTTCATGGGTTCGTCCGCTCAAAGAGCCAGCATTCATGGGGACAGCTGCACTTTATTATCACCCCTACGCTGTTCCGTGTTGTTCCCTAACCCTGTACGCATCTCTACATTCAAAGCACTTTTGCCGATTCAATGAGTGCTTTTTAGTACGTCGGGCAGTTCGTGTTCACAGGAGGCCCTATCGGCCGCACCAACACGCCTAAACCTGATGATTTCCGTGAAGCTTACAACTGGCTTCGTCAAAATACCCACCCGAAGGCGCGAGTTATGGCCTGGTGAGTTCTGGCTAAGGAGCCCCCAAATGCGTGATTTTAAGCACCGCTTCTGAATCGCCTTCCGGTACTATGTACATGCGTGCATGACGATTCGCTGTCCTGTCTATGGTTTTACCCTCATTTCTTACTACTAGTTTATTACCCCAGCGCTACAAAGCTTTACGGTACAGGTGGGACTATGGATATCAAGTATCTGAAGTCGGGAATCGGACTGTTTTTGTGGACAACAATACCTGGAACAGCACTCACATCGCAACAGTTGGACTCGTACGCTTAATAATGCAGTAACTCGCGGAAGTTGATGCGAAGAGCAACTAGGTTATCTAGGAACGAGGCATGTAGCAAAGTTTCCTTGACACATGCGGTCGGGGGTTTTCCCTCTGTGCTTAGAAGGCAATCGTAAATTCTCAATCTCCGTAAAACAGCTTTGGATACCTGTATGAGCGTCTCAGGCATTTGCTTCAGAAGAATCCGAAGCTTATGCAATCGCCCAAGACTTGGATGTGGATTATATCTTCGTGAGCGCATGGGCGGCTTCGGCTTCCAACGCTTGGCTTTACTTGGGGAACTAGAGGCAGCTTTACAAACAATGCTGCGAACTGGAGACGCGGGTGTTGTTCCGCAGGTAGTGTTTGGTGGCATGGCGCGTTTTGCAAGTGATGACCTCAACAAGCTGATTTGGATGGTTCGCATAGCGTCTGGCGTGTACCCAAATCTCCAGCAGTCTGCTTTCTTGGGTCCCAGAGGACAGGTGAGTGGAAAAATTTTAATCCGCACCGGTATTGACTGATCGCGACATGCCCCGCAGCAGCTCAGTATCCCATGAAATGTATTGTTTGCAGTTCACTGTGGGAAGAGATGCTCCACGGGCATTGACAAGAAGCCTTATCTATAAACTCAGCTACCAACACTTCGGCAGTGCTACGAAGGGCTTCGACTTCGCCAGGAAGACACCAGTAGACGCGACGGGTATTCAGTTGAGACATTTCCAGGAGGTCTATACTTCGGAAAACTGGATCGTTCGCATCTACAAGGTGGGTGGGTGGATATAAACTTATCAACTTGGTATCGGTCTGCTACTACGTAACGATGAGCCCTTGGACTTGCTAGACTTTGTCGCTGCGTGTAAAATCAGGTTCGCAAGACAGACAATCGGGATACAAAAATGATCAACGCCATCGAAAGTGGGTTTCAATAGAGTTGCATCACTGACACTTGTGTGTAGAAACGCACAATCAAAACCATGCAAGACAAATGCTAGCCGTCTCAAGCGGTCTGCTGGCGAATCTTCTCGTACAGCGTGTCGTGATACTGCTTTACCCTTTGCACCGCGGCATCTGCAAAAATAACCTTGGAAGAGTGTCGCGTGTGGATTTTCCATATGAATGTTCATACCGTCGGGCCTGAGATACATTACAAATTCAGGTTTGTTTTCGTTTTCGCATTATGGTAATAAACTTACACATATTCCAGGAAGATGAGGGGGATGAGTCTGTATAAAAAGTAGCCCAAGCCGTGAGATGTGTCGTAGTACTGTAATATTGGTAGCTACTTACAAGCTTGCCCCGCAAAGCATGATGTATCCAGTCAGATGTGTGAAATTGCTGGAAGTGATTCCGGCCATGTAGGTTAGGATCGCACTGATCCCGCGGGAAGCCATCGCTCCCGTGTTCCTAACGGACATCATCATGGCGTAGACACTGCCCTCAAGACCTGTCAGAAATCAATTAAGACATATTCAACTGTATTCGCGGTATTTGTGGGTACCTGGGGGGCAGATGGATGCTGTCAGAACGAGTAGTGGAAGCAGTTGGATTTCAGCAGTCTGTGAAGAAGGACAGCATTAGAAGGTTCGCTAGCATGGGCTTCACACAGCTAGCTTACGGCTTCAATGAGGAAGCCTCCACTCAGAACGAAGGCCTTGTTGCTAATGCCAAGGGTTCTGTTGAACCCAGTAGTGAGGATGACTGCAAGCCAGATGAGTCACATTCAAAAAGTGCCTGCCATATGAAAGCCTACTTGGTGAGAGGTATATAGGTACAGCTACTAAGATCGTGGCGAGGAGAGTTTTGCGGAACCCGCTGCTCTTGAAAAAAGTGCGGTACGTCACAACTCCAACCAGAGCAGCAATACCGTAGGTGAACCTGGAAATCCAATATAGTGCCCGCATAATTTTCATAACCACTGGGCCGCAAACTAACCTAAGGGTTCCCATGAACGTGGGCGAAAAGCCGAGCTTGTTGGTGAAATAGAAGAACATGGCATCGTCATAGTCGGGCCCAGCCATGTAGGCGAAAATGTAGAGTGCGGGTCCCCAAATAACGGCTGAGAACCGGTGAGACACTTTGAAGATTCAGCTGAAGTCACATTCTCCTTACATTGCTTGAGGAAATCCATGAGCATCCGCAGTTGTGTCTTCATATCGTATGAGGGCGCTCCACCGGCATCAGTCATAAAGAAGGTGATGAATGCAATGAAGAGCGGGAATATAGAAGTGGCCAAGAAAATGCCTGAAGATTGACGGAATATTGTATCTATTCAGGAACTGAAATTTGTGCCTATCTTACTTTGCTTGGAAGTTCTTTCAAGCAAGTAGCCCGACAAGTAAGCAACAATAAGACTTCCAACTGCTTTAGCAGTTATGAAGTCAGAGACGTTCTCTGCACTCTGAAGAAAGGAAACGCTCAAATTGCCGTTTACAGCTTCTTCAACTGAAACGGTTTACCTGGTCCATTGATCGTCCCGCAGTAGTCTCAACAACTAGAGCTTCGGCCACTGCTGAGCAGAAAGCAGCAGAAACCTGAAGGGAGAGTTTGAACCAGGCACTCACGTGATGCTTTGCATCTAGCGCTTACCGATATTGTGAAAAGGGATATCAAAGCCGTCAGAATCTGAAGATGGCACAATGAATGTTTGTTCTGAAAATCGCCGAACAAGCAAATACACGCACGTGTGTAGGGAACGTTCCCAACATGATGAAGCCCAATGCTTCCAACAAACTGAAGGCGATCATGTATGGCTTTCTCCGAGAGCCATACAGAGGATACGAATCAGAAATAAACGCGAAAATTGGCCTGTGAATGACAACAATTTGACGTGTGATACTAAAACCAGTATGCGCGTATGCTTACTTGAACACCCAAGGAAGGGCGGGTGCAATGAACAAAGCTGAGACTTCCGCAGGACTCAGGCCTGAACCAGAATTTCTTTGATTTCATCCACAACGTTTTCATTCCTGTGCCTATTCACCTAGGTCGTCCTTGAGCATGTAGTATATCGCAAGGGCGGCGAGATGCGTGAGCCCCTCCGAGAAACCGACAAGATATCTGAGTGGATTCTTGTTGAGCAAAAGCCTAGGCGACATTGATAATATATGTTGGCTTACATGACGAATTGAGTGAAGGAAAGACCCTTCCAGAAATGCGAGTCCGCCAAATGGGGAAGCAATCCATCGCTGGTTTCCCTGAGGGTGAGTGGCCAAAAACATGACCAGCCATCCACCGTAAACAAACTGCACTATTTATCCTACCCTGTGCCTGCAGCCTGGAATGCATAAATTAGCCACAATCAAGCAATAGAAGACCCGTATGCTACTCACGGCTTGAACCTCCTCGAGGCCGCCGAAGGCGGTCCGCACGGCAGTTCCTCTCATTTCAACTAGTTCCCTGAGAGGTAAGTTTTCCTGGATGCAAATTTGCCTTGGGCTCAATCGGCAACAAATGTTCCGATGCGCGTTTCTTTGTGAAGTGCCGGTTGTGGGCGTTCAGCTCAGACGCCCAAGGGCGGTGTCTATACACCGCAGCTTGTTGCAAGCTGAATTCGTTGCAGACAGCCCGCTCACTAATATTGCCGGTACAATTGACGGCATATTTGAAAGCTGCTTCGATACAAGTGCAACGTAGATACTATCTAAATTTTGAACTACTCCTTGCGTTTGGTATGCGGAGGGTAACCAGTGGATGGTTTTGGAAAACAATTTGTAGTCGAAACTCAAGAAAGCGGCGGTTCCAACTGGACCGTCCTGTAGTTACGATATGGTATTTAAATACGCTAAAGCGTATTTAAATACCAAATATAGTCGCATCTCGCGCTTAAGCCGGCTCGAATGCGGCAAAGTAGCGGCCACTCGCTGGCCGCATCAATGCACGGCCACTAGCATAGACAGAGTCTATGCAAATGACCTTGCAAATTGTGTTAGCCTAGCATTTCGAATCTTCTCCTTTGCCATTGCCAGCTGACATTGCGCACACACAAACAAAACATTCATGTTCATTTCCTCAGCATAAGATTTTCTGCCAACGATCGTGCATGTAGGGAAACTCGTACTGTCAGAAGAGTAACATGCATATAATCATGCAGTATATTAAATCACCGACTACTCCNCAAGCGCCCATATCTGCTGGCACGGGAAATCGAGAATTAGAAATAATGCAAGCTTTCTTATGGCTTCCCCATTTTTTAGTTTCGCTTGAGTGAAATGTGCCTCTCTTCGATGCCCACCTGATTGTTCACGTGTTCGATAAGGGCTTCGCCAGAGGGGCTAAGGGCTGTGAGAGATTTGAGATCGTCCTCCATGATTGTCGCATATCCAACACTGCATAGCCAACAGAGCCGTACGAATGATGTTGGGATAAAATACACGTGTGGTCGCAAATTCTGCACTGTTTTAGCTGCACATCTCACCGATCGAGGATGTTTACTTGAAGGGCGTCCAACCTCGCCGCGTCCTTCTCGGAGAGCTTGGAAAAGTCATATTCATCCCCAGACTTGCATTTTCCAACAAGCTGCTTCACCTCGTTGGCTTCTTCTGGACTGCATTAAGGAGCACCCAGCATCAATACTTCTCATTTTGTTTGATTTTGATAGGATTATCTGAAATTGCCTATCAACAGTCAGTACACGGACGCGCCCTCCACGTGTGCCTTACCTGACGGTAAACGCCTGAAGAAATTCTTCTTCACGACGTTGAAATACCGCAGAAACTCTTTCGAGGACAGATCCGCTGCCCGTTGACTTAGGCTTCACAGTGTCAGCGTTTCCAAGTTCCTTCAAAGACGCCATGAAGTGAGCCCCTACAGGATCCTGAAAAAAAGCATATGACGCCAAAGGGCTCACGCACATCGATAGCCACATAACTATCATTCAAGTATGCAACAATGTGTACGCAACAAGCAAACACGCCTGAGGGCGCCTTTCTAGTGCATGTGTACAAGTCTTCACCGCAGAGAACTATCCAGTGGCACCGGCGTATCACAGAGAGAACCAGTTTTAGAGCATGAAGTTACAAATGCACAAGGAACTGGAGATATGCACTGAAGGGTGTATTCGACGCAACTAGATGAATGCATACACGTGCGTGTAAATACAAACATATTCGCATGAATACCCCCAGGTATGCACGCATACATACACACATAGCGCATTTGACGTACACACAGAAAGAAACATGAGCGTCCAGATCCATTCACCCATTCACACATATTCGTGCAAGCAAGGGCGCATTCCAATTGCTGTGTGTCACACACAAACATGTGCCGGGATGAATGTACTGAGACATATCTACACTCCCGAATCTACTTCCACACAAAAGTAGACAAGAGAACATGAGCAGAGGTTTACATAAATAGCTACGCGCACACTGCAGCACAGCAATACATATACTTTGTATACAAACGTATTTGGGCGCATGCCTAAATGCCGAATTGTGAACGCATCATACGCAGTTCAATACACAACCTTTCCATGGGGATAAGGAAAGTTTTTTGAACTGCTAGCCCGTCAGCACTGGAAACAGTTTCTCGGCCTGCTGATTCGACGTACAACAGAAGGAACGTCGCCGGCAATTCCCTCTATTGCAGCTTTTAGCGCTGCATCTTGTAACTTCGCGTCGGTTGCTAACTTCCTCTGAAATGATTCAACTAGCTCGCGCACGATAACCTCTTGAAGGGAGCCCTGGATTGCCTTCTCCGCTTGCTGAATCGCAGTGAGCTTGCTTGTGATTCGCTCCACCATCCTCTGCCTCATTTGCTCCAGCAAAGCTACATGGTATTCAGCTAGCTGCTGCTGAACCTCATCTTTAAACGAAGAAACGTATTCAAGGCAACGAGCATCATTTGCGTATTTCTTCAACTGACGATGCACCAGCTCTTCACCGGCATCTTTACGGTCTTTCGCACTCTCGATCATAGCCTTTTCTTCCTTCCACAAATACTCACGGATGTTTCGGCTGCAGTTACGAACGCAACAGCTCAACGCCTTCATGTTGGTACTGGATGCTTACTTGCATTCAATTGAGGCTGATGCGTCGGTCATTCTAAGGGCGGGGAGGTCCTCACTAGAAGTAAGACGCGAGCATGTAAAATACTGCGCCGAAAGGAAATGTCTTCGAATAGAACCATGCGTTGCTCAAGACTTGGTTCGAGAAACCATACCAAACGCCGAGGAAACAGAGTCCATAGCTCGAAAGCTGCTCAACAGCACCTCACATGTTCGTCCTTATTGTCGGCAGGTAAGCGTTCAACTTTATACCTCGTGCAAGCAAAGCGCGTCTGCTATATGATGGGGCTCACAAGGTTCTTTGGCTTCTCATACTTGATTTCTACGAGCTGCTCTGGCGTCTTTGCTCGCTGACGGATGCAATACTTGTAACAGTCCTCTTCTGGCAAGTCGAACAGAACCGCCAGCTCTGCAGCAGTATAAACAGTAAACGTAGCTCCGCTGCCTACACCGTCAACTCTAAACCCTCAGGTTCTGCTTAGAGCTAACCGCATACTCGGTCGGCGTGTTCCCTTCAGTCAGCCGGCAACTCACCCGGATAATGAAATTTGTAGTCCGCGGGGAATGCAAATTCAAATGCATTCATTTCGTTCTGTGAGAATCCATTCTCCCATATGCATTTCATCAGTTCATCTTTCGTTATGAAAACATCCTTCTCCACCACGAGACCGTTTTCGCACCTGTGCCCCACAGTCTCAACACAACGGTACTGTTCAGCTCGTCAAAAAAAANAAAAAAAATGCAGATAATAATAGGCAAGCCAAAATATTAACACCCATCCATAGCCATAAGGCTAATCAGATAAGACATATGATTCAAACATTCGGGGAATAACAATAAATGCTGAATAGATCGAGGCGGCGAGCACGTTTCCTGTGAAAGTGTTCAATTATGCAGAATCTCACAGGTGCCAACGTGGTCATACCTCTTCGCGAATTCAATGAACGCACGAGGCCTGTTCTCCACGTCTGTAATGAGCTTTAGGAACCGGAGAAATAGCGGAGCATCCTTTGTGAACTTTGCAAGCGTGTCCCTGTGGCAGTCAGGCAGATTGCATCTCAACTGAGCAGTATGCAGACTTACCCAATGAGCCAAAAAATCAGCAACTAGTGATATGTGCGCACAGAAACGAGATGTTTTTTGTGCGACAAATACCACTGGCTGGCAACAGCACGGAAGACTTCGTGACGACCGGGAAAACCAAGAACGCCGTTCGCGCAGGATGCACACCAGCAACCACTTCGTATTACGTGGAGTGTCAGATTCCTTAGATCTCAGAAGGAGTAGATGAGCTGACCTCGAGGGTTCGGAAAGAAGGAGATCGTCGAATTGGGTGTCCGTAGTCCACGGCTTCGTGATGCGGTACTTTGTGTACTGAACCTTCTTGAAGCCCCATCCATCGCTCATATTCGCATAGCCTCGAGTCTGGTGGTTCGTGATGCCTCTTGTCTGCTGAGGTAACTGATGAAAGTAGCAAAGCGGCCTTGCTGCCACTTCGAACCTCACGCCCCCGGAAGAGACCCCACGAAGTGGGGCCCTAAAGTGGGCTAGCCAGAACAAGGCCATTGTTATACACACATACTTAGTCTAAAATGTGAATTAGATGTCTCCGAATAAATCCTGTCCCTGCGAAACCCAATTATCGAATGCATGCTCTG